ACATTAACTGCCTCCCATGACAGATGTTATTCTATTTTTTAACGGTTTTGAAAGTAGATTGTGTTCTGGATAGCCTTTATTATACAATTTTTCCTATAAATCGTGTTTTAGGTAATGAAAACTTTATTCACCTCGAATATTGCTAATACAGAACCGCTTCTTTGAACTCCGGTTGAAAAATTTCACGACAATTTCCATGAAAAATTGCACGAAAATTTCCACGAAAAATTGCACGAAAAATTCCACGAAAATTTTCACGAAAAATTGCACGAAAAATTGCCCGAAAAACTTATGTTATATAAAAATATTCAATTAACACATTAAACATTGCTCAAATAATCACATTATTCACAAAACCTTAAAAATATGGTTTTCAGTTTAACGATTCAATTCTATTTTAACAAGTCAAATAAAATCATTAACTTTGAAAAACTAGAAAACAAAGTTTTCCCACAAAATCCTCCTTCTTTTATCTTTAAGTTTTTTTTTGTTATTAAGTGAATCTTAATGTTTTGCTTTTCGGGTATATTTTTATAATCACTGTAGTGTTAAAATTGTTAAAAACAAGTTTTCAATTTCACAAAAAATAAAACCCAATAATTAGTGGCATTCATTCTGAGATCTAAAATTTTGTTATTGTTAAAAGTTTTTCTCTGTTTTTTTTTTCTAGTAAAGGAATAACTAGTATAGAAAAACAAGAAATTTAATGAAAATTATTTTTAAATAAAAACTTTTCTATTTTGTTGCTTTATCCTTCAGAAAAATTTCATTTAAGTAACCATACTCAGGTGAAGATCCTCTCAAATTCACAATAATTATTATAGACTTTATTTAGAGTTTTTGTTTTATTTTATTAAAGAAGAACTGAATTAGCTCGGTATTTGTTTTTACATAAAAAAATAAGTTTTTTAAAAGTTCTAAATAAGTTTTATATTGTTTAAAATAAGGAAAAGGGGAAGAAACGGTGGAGCACTTATTGTGTGAATATAATGGTGCAGCACTTATTGGGCTAGCTGCAATACTGTAGTTAATCAGTATTCTAGATATACTGGTAATGTACAGATGGCAATGGGAATCACAAAATGCGCTATTGGTCGTTGTAAGAAGGGCCAGAGGGTTTCTGTCCACTATTGAAAAAAAAATGGAATTTGAATAAAACTGATTGAAATGTTAATATTGTTTGGTAGACTTAATGATTTAAACTTGTATAGCAATTTAGATACTTTATTAATATTTCTTGCAGTTTATAATTTAATGGTCAGATATAATTTAGTGGTCAGAGGGAATAATAAGAAAATAATGTTAGAAGGTGTTCCCTAACTATGCAGCGAAAATTCAATCAAACCTTTTTATTATAACCCTTAACTGAAATCTGGGGTTGGAAAATAATTCTTTGCAATATTGTTTGTCCGATAACTATTATATTAATAAATTTGTGTATTCTTTAACTACCAAAAATGTTTGGCCTTTAATTTATTCGGCATAAATGTGTAATTGTGACACATAAATTACTGGGGTCAAAATGGAGTAGCAAACTTGTGAAAAGAAATTTAAAAATAAATTGTGTGTTAGTAAGAATATTTTCAAAGGTGACGAGGAATTTTTAAATTTGTGGTCAAAAATAGTTCCAGAATTGTCTAACTTTCGTGATTATCTAAAATGCTCGATATCAGTTACGGCTTAAATGCATATTCAAATTATTAAATTTAAAGTGCTCATATTGAAATTTATGTTAAACTCTAAAAGTCTTAAAATATTTTCATGCACATATCATTAAAAATGAGGTCCGAAATTTTTCCTATAAAACTTCCAATTAAATTTCATTAATTTTCATTTTTCAACACAATAAATTAATTTTCCCATTCAGAAAGCAAAACTATGAGAAATTAATTTTATTATTATCAATATAATAATTATGTTATTAATAATTTATTATAGAAAATATTAAAATTAAAAATGAATACGAAAAACGTTTACAATGTTAAAAGAATTAATTAAAATTTTTTTATGTAAAATATTAAAAATGATTTTATAAAAGTCCTGCTGCAGTGCAACTATTTGAAGTGCAACAAAAAAAAAAGGACCAAAATTATACACAGAATACATAGATAGGCAAAAATACGAAAATCATAAAATTAAAAAACCCAAAAAATGGACAAACAATATGGAAAATCTAATTATCCGTGATAATACTCTTAATATAATATTAATCATTATCAGATTTTTAAAATGTTTTATTGAAAATCCAGACAGGATTTTTTTTTAATAATTAATATGCCTTTTGCATATATTATAAGCTATATTTCAACATTGTCTATATAGTAATAGTGTTGTGCAAAAAAAAATACATTAAAAGGTCAAGAGGTTGAAATTTCAACAATATTTGAGAAGATATGAGTATTTTATTGGAAAAACTATGCAAAAAAAGTTTTAAATTTCAATAAAATTACAAAATTTAGAAATTTAAATATATGAGAATTGAAATTCAGGCTATTGCAACCAATATTGAAATGTTATACAAAATAGCTGCACAGTAATATTGTCGAGTCAATGCCATTAATTGGCAAAATGAAAAATTTTTTAAAAAAATTTAATATTTACCCTATAACAATATCATTATTTCACATCATATTATTAAATTATTAAGTGTATTAATTTTGAAATCACATAAATTCGAATACATTGCATTTTAGAAAAACTTAATCAAATCTACCCAGTAAAATCCCAGTAAAATAATATTGGTTAGTTCTGAAATTCATATAAACGAATAGATTTCAAAAATATTTATAATATCAAATTTACGAGATATTCATTTCAATTTTACGTTATTTAATATTTTAATTAAGAAAGCAGTAGTTAAGGTACCAATTTTAGAATTCTGCTTATTACAATTTGAAAAATCTATATATTATCGTATTTAATTTAAAATAGACAATTGAATCTGATTAAAATTTACTTATATTAGGAGGAAACTTACTAACTAGTATTATCAATGCTGTCCTTAAATATTCAACAGCAATACTTATAAATATAGTTTGAATTTTAATATACCAATGTTATCGCACACAATATTAATGTGACTCTGACCGTAATTAATTTTACGGTCAGAATCGAAACAATATTGTCTATTATATTTACCTTCATACAGGAATCGACGATATTTATAATTAAATTAAAAATAGCAGTCTTAATTTACAATTTTTAATAATAAGTAAATCATAAAGGCAAAAATATCCGCCCAATTATTTTCAATAGAATAAGATAGAATTATTATTTCGAGAAAATAATAATTCTAAACGGCAACAATACAATTAATTGTAAAAATTTTCAATTTTATAACAATTAACAAATTTAAATTTCAAAAATTTCCTTTTCATAAAACCTTAAATTTAATACCACGCTGTATAATTTTAAAATTGTTTAATATTTTTCATTAATTATGTGAAGTAGCCATCCCTTCATTATTTTTATTTTATAATTTTTTACCTATATATACAAATATATATTTTTACCGCATATTTTTGACCATTTTCATGAATATATTGGTTTCCCAATTTCGTTATTACATTTATTTAAAAAAAATGAAAAGTAAAAAATAAACAAAATATGAAAAAGCAAAAAAATATTTTTACCTTAATGCAAACAATGTGGTTCAAAACCATTTTACACACATTATCAATATATTTTCATGATAAGTCTGTAATAAAAAGCGTATTGTAACTATAATAAATTTGCATAACACTAGGATGAGTTTTCAATCCAATAAGAATTATTATTATTTATTGTAATTTAATATTGCGACAAAATTTTAAAGGCCATAACAGAGATTTAAGAAAATCATGTGATCCAACGTTTGTGTGTAGGTCACAATTATAATATTATGTTTTAAGCTCAATTATTATAATGAATTGGATTAAGAACTTTTATATATAAACAAGGGAGCAAACACAATATGAACAAAAATTTAGTGGAAACCTATTATTTCTTTTATTGTACAGAAACTATATTGACCGTTATATTGAAAGATCAGACTAAAATTGGCTTATATTTCTAAATAAAAATAATGAAATGTGGGTTATAATTAAGTGACTGCGAGGCATTCACAACCTTACTCTATTTTGTCACTTGGAAAACTATTAAACACATGAGAACGTAAAAAAAAAATTATAGAGTAATCAAGCCCGAAATACCATCCATAAGAATAGAAGGTGCCAGAGATGATATGCAAAGTACTATTAAGATTCTCGAATATTTGTTTTTCAACAATTCGGTATTGTGTTTTGAATGGTTTATGCGACAGCTAATTACCCCACAGTATACTACAATCTTATACTTAAATTGTCACACAATTTTATATTTGAATACTTTAATTATACTCTTGACATATTAAAAATTTGAAGTTTACATATGAATTATATAAAAATAACATTGTATAACAGTTTAAAATTTAAACTGTTATACACTGTTATACACTGCAATTATAATTAATTATAAATGCAAATCAAAGCACTCTTTTAATTAAAAACAAACAGAGTTCTAAATTTAAAAAACAAAATTCTCACTTGCCCAATAAGTAAATGGCTGGATGTAAAAGCTATATTAAGAATATTCTGAACTAAAATCTACTTGTAGCAATACAATATTTAAAAAAATCCTGATTAATACTATATTTTAATGCTTCGTATATTAATAAAATTAAATGTACGTAGATATATAAACAAAAAGTAAAAAAAAAAAAAATAAAACAAAAAATCGAAACCAAATTAAAATTTTTCCCTCCATTTTATTTTTTTAACTGCAGTTTTTGTTTTCTCATTTCATTTTATTTTTTTATTCTTTTAATATTTTTAATTATTTTAACTTACATTATATTATTTTTTTTCATATATGTATAAGATTTTTTTCTCTTCCATTTATTCAATATTTACCCGAGACTTTCATTCATGTTATAAATTTTTTTCTTCTGATAGTTTTTTTTGTTTCTTTTTTATATCTTTCAGAATCAAATTATTGTAAAGTTGGTAATACAACGTACTCACATGGTGAAACGTTCAAATTGGATTGTAAAACACAATGTGTCTGCGAGGTAAGATATTTATCTTTTATTATATAAATTGTATTTACACACATGTACGTAATTTGCACGTAATACCCTTAATATATTAGTTTAACAATTATATATGTAATATATAATTAATATAACAGTGCTGCGTGAGGCATGTATAAAATTTTACATTGGTAAACTTTAATATGTGTTTATTAATTCCAATACGTTATCATTAATTCCACTACGTTATTAATTAATGTAAAATATTTTAGTATATCAGGCCGATTATTTTACAATATTTTCTATTAAAATTTTACTTTTAAAATTACAAACTCTTATAACTCTCAATTATTGATTTAAATTCAACCAGAAATTTAAATAGAAGTTTTCCCTTAAAAACCTTAAATATGGTTTACCTTCCAATATTGATTAAAGAATGGAACGCAAGCCGAACCCGGCTACATTTAGACATTGGCTTAATAGGCATTGGGACTTGAAAAAAATATGACAGAAAATGACATTCAGCTTTTTTAAGTTCTCAAGTTAACCAGCACAAGAAAGAAATGCGCCATGAACGTCTGAAATATTTATTTTTTTAGTAAAGTTCATTAAAATGTTCAAAAAAGAAGTATATTCAGAAATATCACAATAAATTGGAATTCTGCAAAATATAGGCATTGCCTTTAAAATTAAAGAAATCACGCAAAATACCTAGAAACTTTCCGGATTTTTTTGAAAAATTTGCTTTTTTAGCAGTTTGAGGCAACCGACTTATTTAAAATTATATTTTCAGACGGCTACCTCAGTCTACACCATATTATGTATCACTAAAAGGAGAAGTAAATATTAACATTGTATAACATTAATTTAAAAAATAACACGATACTTTTAATGGCATTAACGCAAATACAATAAGAAAAAAAAATCAAGAGAAATTTTAACTATGCTCTGCTCCCTTTATACTATGTGTTCTGTGTTTTCTCTTCATTTATCTATACATTTACATATGCAGTACAATGTATAACGTTATTATATATGAACAGCAATCCTGTAATGTATTTTTTTATATTAACTTATTTACATGTGTAAATAAAAAGTAGAAGTTTATTTTATACACACATTTACAATACATTCAAGAGAGTTTGTTAGCATAATATTGTTCATATATGTATGTACCTTAACATGGGCAAATGGAATTTCCATAAATGTGTACAAGTAATACTGTTTAGTATATACAAAATTGGTCTAGGTATAATATGAATGTAGAGAGTACATTAAACTTTGTTAAAGAAAATTGTTGGTATGCAAAAGCTCGAACTAAATTTTTTTTATTACAAAATGACAAGATGCTTATTAATTGCAATAAAATTGTTATTCCAGAAAACGGTATTAATGAAATTAATGAATGTGATATGACAATACAATAACAGTTCTATGATAGTAGAATATTTAAGTGTATTATTTAAGTTAAGTAATGAATTAAATATGTTTAATCAAATTTAAAAATATCTAAAAGTTACCTATGCTTTACCTATAGTATTAAAGCTTCTCGTGCAAGTCATGAATTTCTTATTTGAAATTACTGAATTGAAATATAATATTTACCAAAATTCGCTCTGAAAGTAATCGTTATGGATGAAGAAAACTTTGAAATGAGCAACAGAACCAAAAATAATAAATAGAGGGTGGGTTTTCATTCAAAAAATATTATCATGCTTTCTATATTAAGCAAAAAATTTTCTTTTCTTTTATTTAAAAATTCAAAAAATTCACTTTCCAAGGGTATACTACGAGTACTAATGCTTTCAATTATTCGAATTTGCTTTTAAAATTGCTAGTACCCAAATCTAAAAATTTTACACAATTTCTAAAGAATTTCACCTAAATTACTTAAAGCTCACCCAACAAACTGTAAAGAAATTAATTTTAAAATATAAAATTCTTAAAAAATAAAAATGCATAGCTGTAATAAAATTTTTAAAAAGTTTATTAAAAAGATTTTTAAGTAAAATAAATTTATTTTTTTCTGGAATTTTGAATGTTTTTTTTTATTTTTTTATATACAAAATAAAATTCTACATTCCATAAAACCCATATTAGAAAACATTTCTACAAAAAAAGAAAATCTGATATGATCAACACATAACCGACCCCAACGTATATTGTCTAGTCTTACAGAAGATTATGAAAATGCGTTTTGAACACTTCTTTCCAATTTACAGAAAGTTAGTAAGCTTTTAATCAATATAACTAGAAAAATTGGCTCTTTGTAGTGCTTTACTTTGTGCCACAACAATCGTCCAGATTGGTTGATTATTTCTCTTTATATGCGCGAAAATGTCGGCCAGCAAAAACGTCCAGTTCTCGAGATCTGATATATCCGTTAAAAGTTTCGGTGTTAGAGCCGAAATTAACATACATTTACAATTTTATCGAAATTGGTTCAGCCGAACTGAAATACATGGGTGTACACAAAGACCGACAGACAGACCGACAGATAGAAGGACCGACAGACCGATAGACCGACAGACCGACAAACCGACAAACCGACAAACCGACAGACCGACAAACCCACAGATCGACAGACAAACTTCTCTCTAAAAAATAGTTTCTTTACGCTTCCTTACTTTGGAGAAATTCGTTTCCACCGAAAATTTGACATCCAAAATTTGATACCATCACATAACCTCCCTTATTGTATGCAATACGATCAGTAAAAATAGAAAAGAATATTTTTTAATTGCTTAAATTTTTTCTTGGTCTCTTAGTTTTAATACCACTCTAGTTATACATAAAATGTAACAGACAACCACAAAACACAATCATAATAAAGTTGGTGTTCATTTTATAAATTGTTTTTAATTTTTATTTTTGTTTTTTCTTTTAGTTTTTTACATTATAATCCTTATAAATTAATTGAAATAAAAAAGAAATGTTTATAAAATTTTTTACGTAATTGCCATTTAAATTTTGTTTTTTTTGTTTTCATATTATTTACCAGAATGGCAGACATGCATGTTCATCATTGTGTCCAAAGGAACAATTACCAGCTCCAGAGGATACAGAATCATGTAGATCACCAAGACTAGTTGAAGTGCCTGGTCATTGTTGTAAAATGTGGCTATGTGAAAAACCAACAGCTGACGGTAAGAATTTGATTTTTTTTCTATGTATGTATGTAGGTATATATCTTAAATAATATAACAGAAAATTTTATTTAACAAATTATAATAGGATTTAAATTTAATGACGAAATATTATAGGTATTAATAGTAGTAGTAATAGTGAGAAAGGGGGCGAAGCCCATTGTCAACCCTTCTCAATACATAAAAACTCTTAAAACCACTGGGTATCTTTCATAAATCAATGCAATTCACCACGGATTTTCTCGGAAACAACTCAAAATCGCCCAACTAGAACGGGTTCAAATATATCCTTATCTTCCTCATTGGTTGGGAGCACTTGCAGACTGCATAGTGTATGTCCTGACATGAATGTTTCAAAGATCATTTTGCTTGTTAATAGATTTAAAATGAGTTCTTGCTAAAGTACTTACCAATTTTTCTATAATAAGAACTCTAAGATTTTCGAATTTTCTAAAAATGATAAATAAAGTAAAAGTTAGAAATTTTCACCTTAAATATTTCTCTTTTCTTGCTAAATTTCTTGAGGACTTGATAATTTTTATTGAATTATAGATGGTACTTACTAGGTTATTGTAAAGTGTTTTCGCTCTTTCTTAATACCTTTATCTTTCAATGTCCAATTAGATTTATAATGAATTTCATATAATTCTTTATTAACTTCATTTTAACAATGAATTATTGAAAATCTTTTATGTAATCTTATAAATTTTCAGATATGAAAACTAATAAACTCAATCCTGACAAATAAAATTTTGAAAATTGTTCAATGAGATATTAAAAAAAATAACAACAGAAAAAATGCTGTCCCTTGTAACTGTCATGTGCTTTTATATAAATTTCTTGATAGTTTTTTTTATAAATAATATACAAGTCATACATATTTAATGTACTATTTAACACAATACACGTATTTTGTTTATTATATTTAATTTTTCAAGATTCCCAAATGGAATTCTATTTCATCTGACACTTGAATGGAATGCAACCCTTGGAATTGTATAAAATAATATTTTATTCTTATCTTTTCTACTTCTCTTTGGCTTTGTTTTAGTTAGTAGAAAACATTCTCTTAATATATGAGACAACAGGTACTTTCAACCGCAGGTGAAAAGTACAGTCCACATTCGGAAAAGGAAGTAAAATGTGGCCAAAATAAAACTTGTATAGGCTTGTGGGAACATGCGTTTAGGTTATGATTACCCTTAAATATGACGAACTGCAGATGCCGCGAAAAGATAAGAAGGAGACTATTTCTCGCTATCTCTGTTATTGTCGGGCTCTGAGCAGGGCCAGAATGGTCATGTGGAATATAGCAAGTGCGACGAGGCTTGGCGAGATATTAAAGACTAGCATTAGGGAATTAGATAGATTGCTCAAGAAAATTGAGTGGTTTAGATAGGATTTATCACGGGGTAGTAGTAGCAAAACGGTACATTTGTGCTAATTGGGATACGTTTGACGTGGTACACTGTCTACGTTAAACAACCAACAATAGCACAACTGAATAATATGGTGAAAGATTATAGGTTCTAAACACTTTAATACAAAAATTTTTAATTGTATAATTGTTAATTGTAAGTTTTTAAAAATCCTATTATTGGAATTTTCACATTACTTCATAAGGGCCTTAGATCCAATCACATTTAATAAAACCCCTAATTATTTTCAGTAAAATTACCAAAAATTGTAATCAATTGAATTCAGCATATACTACAATCGACAACAATGAATGCAAATGTATACATACGCATCAACACTTTGAGAATAACACTTATAATTAATAAATTCACAATAAATTCTCTTTCAGCCCATAACATTTTGACCACCTTTCTTTCTTGACTGTTTTCATCAAATTTTACAGTTCACTTACCTAACATTTTTCTCTATAGACATGGTATTTATTTCTCATACGGTCGCGATAAATTCCATTCACTACTGAAATTTTTAAAATAAAAGTTAAAATTTTATTTCAACGTCTGCTCACTGTTGTTTTAAAAATAAATTTTTCTTCATTAAAAAAAAAACTCACTTATACCATTAGTTGCAGTGTGATTGCACATAGTATTTATTGTGGATTATATAACAATGTTTCAATAGTCGCCTTCTTTAATTTTTTTATGATTTTCTACTTAAAATCATATTTATCATAAGTTAAAAGGAACCGGAAGAAAATTATTTTTGTTTTTTGTTTTTAAATCAATGAACTGAATAATGAATTTCTTTCATAATAAATAGAGAAAAGCTTGTGCTTATGATAAGTTAATTTGAAGAAACAATAAAAAACAAAGAAAAAGAAGCAGATAGAAATAAATTATGCAATTTTTGAAACCATAAATTCTAATGAAATCCAGACCATTGTAATTATTTGCAATATTTTGAATTGGAAAAATTTTCAAAATGAAAAATGATGAAAAATTTTCATAATTATGAAGATTTTAAAATTTTTGTTTTCCATGAATTGTAGATCAAATTTATTGAGAAAGCATGGGTAGGAAGCAGTTGAATTTTACAGGAAAATAAATTGCAAGAAAATATCAAAGAATACAGGAAAATTGCAAATTTTTTATGAGAAACGAAAACAATAGGCTCCTTTTTTACTATGATAAATACTTTCATAATCTCATTTACGAGTATACAAAATATAAAATACATTTTAAATCAGAATTCTCCATTTTTCTAGTGAATATTTAATTTTTCCAATATGATTCAATTCATTTTTGCATTCTCTCTAATTATCGCCTGAACGTCTCCCCATCAAAGTGAGTAAAATTTCCATATATTTTAGAGAAACCGAGATGCACATTATCAAATAATTTTTCTCACTCGAAAATTACCTTATAAAAATATATCGCCGGTTATGAAGCACAGAGCAATAAGTCAAAGAACTTGGTTTTGAGGAGAGTCAATTTGAAAGATTCGTGAAATCATAAAGATGATCAATTAGTACAATTGGATTGGCATCTATAATATTTGTAAACTATATTCTAGACTTGAATGATTTTTTGCTACACTTAATGAAAAATGCGCTTAATGCTCTCTACATTAGTTAACCAACGAGAAAAAGAATCAACACTTACTCAGTTTCATCTACAACAGATTTTTAAAGTAGCATAAATGACACAATTATAGCTGCAATTTTGACATATTGAACATTTTTAAAGGGGCTGCCACTGTCAATTGGAAAATTAAAATTATGGCGTTTGTCTGATTTGACAAATGATGACTCATATCACATGATCATCATGTGATATTTTTAAAAAGAGCGACTTTTTATGTTACTGTACTTCAAAAAATTCCCATTAATTATGAACCCATCTTATTACCTGTTATCATGGGCTATTAGATTTCATGAACTATTATACAAAAAAAAAACAAAATTTTGTAATTGAAAACTGATAACTTCCACAAAACTATAAGTTTCGACATAAAATATAAGGTCCGAACTTGAATGAAATCTTAAAATTCAGATATTCCTCATTTCATATTAACATTCTTCTGTTATCATAACAGATAACAGAAAAAGCAAATTTACTACAATATTATAATTGAATGGGTTATTGCTCTTTTTGCCGTATATAAAATGAATTCCAATTACAATTGGTTGGACAGATTAAATATGTGTACATACATATATACATTATAATAATCCGGTTATAAGGAAACAACATGTACACAATTATTATTATAAAAGAAGCAAAAATATAATGATGATGAATTTTTTATTCACAAAAATGAAAAGAACAAAAAAAAATTAACTCAAAAAAATTAGAAAATACAATTATTAAGAAAATAATAGTTACCATATGTTTAAACAATAAGAGAAAGCAAAAACAATAATGTTAAGAAAAAAAATAATAATAATGACAACATCATAAAGCGACATCTTATTGTGACAAATACAACCATTTTAATTTTCCTGACAATTTTGCTCTCTTTATTTTTTGTTCTTTTATTTTTATGTTTACTTATTTTCTCTTTCTTTTTTTATTCTTGTTCACTATGTTCCATTTGCTTTGTTCTCTTTTTATTATTTCCATATTGTTCTTGTGAACCGGAAAAAGAGAATCAAAATGAAAACTGATGTTTATTTTTTATTCGTGATTTCATCGTGTTTCTTGTATACTGTTATAAAAATGCCTTGCATATAAGCTTAATGTTCATATAATAATAATAATGATAATTACTGTTGTGTACTGAAGTATTTTCCTTTAGAAACAGGAAAAAAAATCTCAATGTACAATAATAATATTGGGACTTATATTGTCAGTATACTTGCCATATTGTGGCTATATATAGAGAAATTTGTATATAAAAATAAGAATAAAATATGGGCTTCAAGACTAGAAATATTTATTACAAAACACTCATGATTTAAAACAAAAAATAGAAAAGAAGCGAAAAAAAACCAAGAAAATTGCAAAAGCAAAAAAAAAACGATAAAGTAAATTTTAATGAGTTTTTATTTAGAGTTGAATTGAATGGAACATACTATAGAGAGAGAGCAAGAAGCAATTCATCATTATTTATTATCTTCCTGTTTCATTTTTGTGATCTTATTTTTAATTTTCTTTTTTTATTTTGATTTTATATAACAGATTTCATATCCGATAATTACTCTAAATTAAGAGACTGGATGATTTCCAAATATTTTTTTTTATAAATACCCATTTAATTTTTTTAATTTGAAATTTAATTAATATATAGAAATTATTTAGTTTGAAAAATTGAAAATTTCAATAAATATAAGAATAAATGTTGTTTTGATTAACTGTTATAATAACTAGTTTAGTAAATGAATCCAAATCGAGGTTTTATGACTAACACTGGGACCTCAAATAATGAATTATTCCCCATAATATATTAAAATATTTTTAACACTGAATTTTGAGGATTCTTACTTCAGTCATATGAACATACAGTGTAAAATTACGTTCTCATTAAATTATTTTACTAAATTGTTACCTTGTAAATTGTAGATTATTGAAGAGTGATATAGGCAAACGAATTCCACCTGTTCGAACACCGCAGCAAAGCACCGTAGCCCTCCTATATCCCACTTAAACTATCCTGGTTTCAAATAAATACTTGGATATATCCTCAGGGAGTTAAATGTGAACTCCCCAACACTGGAAAAGCTCCCATAAAACCATCTGCACGTCTTGAAAGCCAGTGCTGGACAGCCAAAAAGAATATGTATGGCCGTCTCGACGTCATCCTGTAAGAATCTACACAAAAGGTAGTGCAATTTGTCCAGTTTGTGTAAGTGATATTTCAACAATGCGAACAATGTCCAGTGAAGAAACCACTAACAACTCAAATCCGATTCCATCCGGTTCTCCCTAAGCAGCTCTGTTGAAAACTTTCTCAAGCAAGATGGAAAAAAAAAATTCCGTATGATGACATCCCTCAATAGCCTGCCAGCAAAGATTTGATTTGCCCTCAAGCAGAGCACCAAGTTTGCCCCTAATGACGGACTTTGACAGTTTACAGAATGGAAAGGCTCAAACGAAAGAGTCTCCAGATTGGAATCTAAACAATCGTGCTCTGCTATCTGAGAGCACATAAATGATGCAATTTTTATTCCCTTTCTAAATTTGCTCTCAGGCATATCTCTGTTGTATGTATTTTAACTTAAAACACAGAGATATACGGATCCAGGCTTCTAATATAGATATATAAACTTATAATTATACGTCCGGTTGCACATTATTGCCTTATTGAACTATATAAATGTCGAATAGCCGTCAAAATATGAATTATCATGAATTTGAAAGCTATACCATTCATGAATTCAATTTCAATCAATTAAAAACATCTTATAAAATTTATAAAAAATGATAGAAAATGCTTATGCATTCTAGAGCATTAAATTTTCCAAAAAAAAAAAAAATTTAAAAGTTTCATACAATTTATTCAAAGATTTGACCATCCTTAGAGTTAAGCCACATTTTCGGCAACAAAACCAACAAAATGTTGTCATAACTGCCTAATATTTTTATACAATTTCAATATTTCTAAATCTAAGCATCAATCACTTAATTATTTAAAACAAATTTAAAAAAAAATTCTAAAATTTTATTAAAATAAAAAAATTTGTTGCAAATTTTAATAAAATAGAAAATAAGTGGCTTTTTAAAAGCTTAAAACAAAAAGATCTCTAAGGATTACCAATTTATTGTTTGCTCCTTTTCTGTTTATTATTGAAATTTTTAAAATCCACACTAAATGTATTCTAAATGTACAACAAAAATAAAAAAGAAAACAAAAACTGAAACCACAAAAAATTTGACAATCCTATTTTAAGGACTCTTAATTTTTTTTTCTATTCTATTAATAGAACCACATCAAAAATAAAATGAAAAAAATTCAACAAATAAACCAAGTGTGTTTTCAAAGTAAATCCAAAAGGATTCTAATAAATTTATCACAGATTTTTAATTTTTTTTTCATTTCTGGTTGATCTTCAACTATTTTGATATCAAAAAAAATTTATTTATAAATTTAATTTTTTTTTCTATTTTTTCGACTCTTTTTGTCTATTTTTGTATTGAGTTTTTGTCTAAAAAATTTTAGAAAATTTTTATTTTAATTTTATTAAATAAAAGTAACAAAACCAAACAATTAAGTCCTTATAAATCTATAGTGCTGTAGTCATGTTTGTTTATCTGCTCCATAATAAAAAAAAATGTATAAAAACTTGTATAAGAAACAAAAAACAATGTCTGTTATTGTTATATAGTCCTGATGAGCCTCTCTCTTACATATTGTTATATAGTTGTAATGTAGTTTTCCATTCAGGATTTCACCGCAAAAATTTAAAAACAAAATGAAATACAATATCCGTTTACAGAATTTAAATCCGGACCGGTGTCACGTACCGGTAAGCATGTAACATACTCATATTATACTTGTGTATAAATACTTATGTAGACTAATAAAAGAGAAGTCGTACAATGTGTTCACATAACAATAATAATAATTAAAAAGAATAAAAGAGGAAAATTTTGTGAACAAATTTTGCAAAAGTATAACCGAAAAATATCACAAAACTCCCATTTTTATTTTGTTAAATTTAATATGCAGAAAATTTTTTTTGTAAAATTGCTTTCAATAAAGTTTTTAATACCGAAAAACACCATATAATATGGTGTACATGCAAGTATACTAAAACTATTTTCTATGGTATATTCAATAGAAACCCACAAAATCAAAAAGGACATGATAATAAAAATTTTATTTATTATTTTGTTATCATTATAAATAAAAATTTTATTGACCTCTTTTGTTAGAATTTTTGTGATTTGATTAAAATTTAATTACTATGTTTGGTTTTCGTTTATAACATATATCACGTTGGAAAGAATAACAACACAATTCAAAAATATGATTTTGACTTCCCGAATTTAAAATATTTATAGCCGAGTGTAAATTACTTTCAAAGACAAATAGTAATAAAAGCAGGTTTGCGACTCTGGCAATTTACTAGAGGCAATTTACCTGCTACTAAATTTCATGCTAAATTTTTAGTTTTCTGTCTGTAAAAGTCTAATTCTACAGTCGCCAGATAACAAGTTTCGCACAAATTACAACTATAACACTATTGATTAGCCTTCTAGTGAAGTGCTCTATATATAGTAGAATTTTTTGCGGAACACTAAAACGCTATTTATATTGTCAACGTAATCAACTCCAGTGTTACTATAAAATGTGGTCGCAAATACTTCATATACGAACCATAAAAATTCTATAATATTCTACTCGTCAAAATAAACCCTAAAATAAATACGATCATACAAAAAAAAATTTCTAATTTTTGCAAAAAAAATTTGTTATCTTCTTACTTATTTTTATAATAATGAGGGTGGTTAAATACAGATAATTTCGAAAACATTAAATAGAATGAAAAACAAATACTTATGTACACCAAATTTTTTTTTTTCAGTGTAGGTATATTTTATATTTTTAATGTGCTCCCTTAAACAATAACAAAATTTATAATACTATTAAAATATTTTCTTCCTCAGTCTCTCTCTCTCTCTCTCTCTCTCTCTCTCTCTCTTTCTTTCTATATAACTCTCTATCTATGTATTTACTAATTTATTTATATTCATTTATTTTTTCTATATATAGTAAAAGCCACATGCCATAATACATCATCAAGTCCATGGACGCCATGTTCTGAAAATTGTGGTGTTGGTATATCAACACGTATAACAAATACCACAACAGGATGTCACAAGTTAAGTAATATTAGGCTATGTGAAAATCGTAAATGTGATGACAATAAATTAAATAGTAAAATAGTTGATAGAAATTTATCATTAATACAACAGCAAAAGCAAATAAAACAACAGGAAAAACAATATCAACAATTACAATTATTACAACAGCATCCTGAACATAGAATTAGGGTAAATAAATATTTTGTTTTTTTTTTTTGCCGAATTAATTGCCAAATATTATTATTAATGTTTAAATTAAATGTTGGTTTTTTGATTAAATTTAATTTTTTTGTTTTATTTATAGAAAGGACATGAATGTCGTAGCTTACAAAGATTAGGTCCAGCTAGAATACGTTTTGGTTCATGTGTATCAAGAAAATTATATCGTCCCAAAATATGTGGGAGATGTCATCAAATAAATAAATGTTGTGTGCCTTCTGTTTCTACAACAATTCAAGTAAGTGAAATTTTTTAATTCTAAATCAATTTAAAATTAATATTATTCAATTAATTTTTAATTGAAAATAAATCGATTGAAAATTAATTTGAAAATTAACGACTCATATCTAATAGCTTAAGTTCGCAACGGCAAGCAATTCGAAATCGTGGTAATAACCCCTTAAAAAATGAATCGTAATTAAAATATCAAATTTTCTTCACATAAGATTTCTGCGTAGCTTAAAATTATCTTTGAAATTGGACTTTTACAATTTACATTCTCAAATATTTCAATTTGTTTTATATTATTTTGTTCCACATTATTTACAAGTATTTGGAAGGTATTTCTTACTGTTGTTATTCCTTACCGAATTTTACAAACTATTATAGCAATTTTATTTTATGAAGAAAATTTTTTAAACCAAATATGAGTAACATTGTATATGAGTTGAATAATTTTGATAATTTCCATATCTAATAATTTACTCGAACTGATCAATAGAATTGGGTGTCGAGAAGTGATACTCTAAGGCAGAGTAACGATTCCACACTGAATCGTGTACATCAATGTGCAAATTTGCAATTTATCATAGCTGTTTTAACCCTTTGATTCAATATTCTGCATTTTATATCTATATTATATGCCATTTTAAAAATAAAATACACATTTAATTTATGAAATTGACCCAAGGCTAATAAAAATTTTTTCCATATATTAGAATAATTGCAACCATATTTAGTTTGCATGAAAATTGCAATTTAATATTCTAATTATATAATTGGCTCATGAATATATACCAGATTATTTCTTTTAACCACAGAATATTTTTGTTTATTTTATGTACATATGCTACATATTCTATACAGATTTTCCACAAAATTCGATTTAAGTATTTTTTTTTTTTATCATTAAAATTTTACTATAATTTTCCACATTATCAAATATGCATTAACTTTAGAATATTTTTTCTATTGAATTTTGTTTTACAATATTAAAAATAACAAATATATATAACAATATTTATATATATATATATATTTGTCCTTTATCTTTATTGTTCCATTAAAAAAATTGTATAAAAAAAAACAAAAAGATTTCTTTAATATTTTTTTTTCTTTAAATATAAAAACCAAATTATTTTTTATTAAGAGTTGCGGTTGTATTATGTTTAAAGTGAAGAAAAAATGAAATTTTTTTTATTGTTATACAAAAAATAAAATTTTGGTTTTCTCTAGTAATCAGAGAAAACATATCTGTGTATCTAGTAAAAAGTATGATATACAGAGTGTATTGGATGTGATCGTAAATGTTAAATGAAATGAGTAGAAATAAAAAATATTTCGGAGATTTTAAGCCTTAGTACAGGAAACTTGTAGAAAATTTGAAAATTTTCAAAGAATTATGGATCAAGGTAAATAAATCATTAAGGTTTTGAAGATATTCAATTTTATGACTTAAGATCCAATGCTATGTTTAATAATTTTTCCAGTAATTTTCGAATGAAGCTTGAAAATTTTAAAAATTTTTCTATATTTTATATATTAAATTAGATTAATAAGCTGAAAATATGTACAATGGGACCAAACATTTTTCCAAAAGCAGCATTATTTAGCAATATTATACAAACAACATGTAATGTCGTTGTAGAAATCATGGCTCTTTGTAGATATCATGTTAAATCATGGGTATATTATGAAGACAAAATTAAAAAATTTTCAAATATAATGAAAAATTTAAAAAAAATTCGTGGACAATTTCGATTTTTCTGAATAATTAATTTCTGAATTTTGCGAATTATTGTGAATATTTTATTGAAATATAAGACAGCTTATATTTCCATTTAATCTTTAAAAAAAATTCTCCATTGATCACTGACATTCTAAAAAAAATTTCTTTTTTCCTCTAGTTTATAGTTACAGTTTTAATATGCATTTAATTTTGAATCACCTTGTCTTAAATTTTGTTAAGTAGATACCTACATATTATAAAATATAAAACATGGTTACTCTAATAAAATAACAATAATGACTAAAAAATCTTCTCAATATTATTCTACATTCTACATTATTATAATAATGATAATTTTCTATAAAAATACAAAAAAAAAAAATATTATTTTGAATTTTAAAAAATTTTGATTTTATGATTTGAAATAACAAAAACTTAACTAATACAATAGTAATAATAATCATATTGATTTCTTAAATAAATTCCATATGGTTTTTAAAAAAATATTATAATCAAAATATAATAATAATTTAAGAATATAATATTATATTTTTGTAAAATATAGAAAATACTAATTTTAATAGAATGCAGTGGGAAAAAACCAAAAATAATTTCTATTCAAATAAAATACCATAATAATATTACAGTAATTTATTTTTAGTGTCCATTTTGTATATAATTTCTATTCATATTTAATGTAAATTATTAAATTATAAGTATATTAAGTACGAGTACATACATTAAAAATTATAATATTGAATAATAATAATAATATTGTGTACATAGATTATTGCCAAAAATGATTAGAGAATATTACTATTGAAATTTAATAGCCTTAAAATAAAAATATTGGATTTTCGTTTTAAGAAATGAAGAATTGTAAATTAATATATGAAATTATCTTCAGATATAATATTCAAACTGTTCTACTTTTATGCAATCTAAATTCTAGATACTCATTGCAATCTCCTCCTTAATCTATTAGTTGTATTCAATAGAAAAACTCTAGAAAATCCATTTATTCGTAATACAGCAATCATAATTGGAATTAATGCAATAATTATATTTATGCAATATTTATTGTAACTTACTATGCCAAGTTCACATAAGAAGTACCTTATCCTTACCCTTATCACATAAAAGATACCCTTACCGTCCGGATTTGCACAAGTACCGTTACTTTCCCTAAATATTATAGCACAAAATAATATTCTTTCTTTCGTATACTCTTCATAATAAGATAGCAGTGCGACAGTCAATATTATTGTGATCTAATCTAAGCAAAACGACATCTTCAATAACATCTTTTTGAATTCTAAAATCAGTAATTAAGGAGGATAAGCTATATTTGAAGTTTCAAATTTGATAAATAAATTATTTTTATTGAATATTGAACTGTATTTGAAAATATTGAAGCCAAGTCATCTTAACAATTATGCTTAGAATTTCGATAAAACCCTAATTAGAACTTAACACTGTAAAATTTTATTGTTTTTCAACTTATACCATGCTGAATAATACGGAAAAAATTAATGCAAATTAATTTTTTAAATTGCATACTTTTAGGGAAATTCATTTTTTTCACATAATTTTCTTATAATACCGTACGTAAATGCAAATTTTACCGTACCGTATGTAAATTTTAAAAATTGCATACTTTTAGGGGAATTCATTTTTTTTTTACATATCTTTCCTATAATAACCTATGTAAATGGAATAATTTAGAAAAATTTGAATTTTATTTTAAAAATTTGTGAATTTTCACTTTAAATTCTTACATAGAACAATTCATTCGCTCAATGAATAGAGCAATAACCATGTAAAATTTGTCAAAATATTCAATATTTTTGTAATATTTTCATTTTTACAATAATGTTTAACTGTAATTTCAAATGTAGATGATAAATTTTGCTTAAATCTTTCACGCAATACATAAAGTATCACAAATACAATAAAACATTTCACATTTTCATATTCATTAAAATTTCTAATAGGTTTAATCGCTATATTATGGAAATCTACAAAATAATATCCAAAATGTTTTAATTGAAATTTAAAATTTAAGTCTAGTAAAATCCTAAAAATAAATTTCTTCTATATTATAATTCTAAAACTTGCCGCAAATTCAATATTAAATTATAATAATTATAATGCACATTGTATATGCAAAACTTTAATAACATAAAATTCAAATTTTTGATAATTATTTAAAATTTCAAATAATAAATTATAGATTAAAATCTACTTTTCTTCTTTAAAAAAATTCTATATGAATTCAGAAAATATAAGTACATAAATACTTTGTTTGTCAAGATCCTTTTTTGTTTATCCTTTCATTTTTATTAAATTATTATTTATATAAAAAATATCCAATTGAATATTAATTTCAAATTATAATTTTAACATATAGCTAGGCTTTTTGTATAAAAATAAGTAATAATAATTAAATATAAAAAAATATATTGAAAATATTTAAGTGATTTTGATTTCAGATAAACAAAATTTATATCTTATAAATATAAAAGTAAATAAGGATTTTGCCTTTTTCATATCCTGAATGACTAAATTTTTGCATAAAGCTATACATGTATTTATATGTAGACAGACTCTTTTGCTTAAAATACTTAAAATACAATTTTGTAAATCCTAAAATTTATTAAAATATATTTTATTCAATTACCTTTAATATTACCTCGCCCCCCTCCCCTCACCGACCTTCCTACATCACTCACACAAATTTGAAAATATAAAATTTTTTGTAAAATATTTTCTTTAAAAATTTTCCAATTATTAATCTTTGATACAAAGATTTGTGTATATTATAATTTGCATGAATTTTTTTTTATAATATTACTACAATGAAGGCCCCAATATTTATTTTTCATTTCTATAAATTTATTTTACGTTTATATGTGTGTATACAGAGAATTCGAGACTAGATGTTGTACCAATAGAAAGGTAATAGAGAATAAATAAAAAATTAACATAAAACAATCAGGTTAACAGGCAAACTCTTCAAACTGTTATACAACAAATTTAATATTAAAACTATAATTAGGAGTTCGGCCTTAAGATCTCTGTTAAAAATATAATCAAATAGTTGTAACCACCTGCCATTATAAAGTCCAAGCTTAATTTGGCACTTTTCAGAAAAAACAAGTTTGAGGCATCATAATTCGAGAAGGAAGCTAGTAGAATGAAATGCCCTTAATTATTCTGTTACATTGTTTCATCAATACCATCGAATTCAAATGTATCATCAATTTAAAACATTTGTTTTCATTATTTTT